CTGAAAAATTGTGCCGAACACTGGAATTTGACACAACATTGTAAAATGATTATAAATCAATAAAAAATGTTAAAAAAAATTCAAGAGAGACGACAGCCTAAACTGCAGGATTCTCAATGTATTTAGAGTTCCAATAAAACATTTTTTATATATATGAAATATTTTTGGTGCTAAGACAAAACTTCAAGCTTTGAGTTACTTTTAAATAAAATTAACATAAAGCAATTATAAAAAAAAAAGAATCCAAACATTGAGGGCTTACAGGACTGCTTCCATGCCTCCTTCAGAAGCCAATCACAAATCCAAGTTGTCACCTGTGCTTCTGACAGACTGGATAGGGGTGCTTTCTAAAAGTCAGTGCATTAACATAAACCCAACTGTGGTTGAAAGGGGTTTGTTATGAATGTCAAGACACTCTTTATCACTCTTATCACAAGAAATTTAGAAGGTTTTAGGAGCTCTGTGCCAGAAACGGGACAAAAACAAAAATATATTTCTCATTATAAATCACAATATGTGTGTTTAAGTGTCATTATGTAAAAGTTCTTCTTATGGGTTGTGGTCAGATTTTTAAAGCTACTGCTCTAGAACATAACTGACTTGTCTAAACCTTCGCAAAACATTGGTATACAGTGCAATTAACTACCTACTGCAGGCTCTTATTAAGCAGTCCCCAATCTGCTGTGAATCCTTCCCAAACATCCTCAATAACATAAGTGTTATATTCCATCAAACTTGATTGACAGAGGATTCTGCCTCCACCCTGATACCAACTGTCTGACATGTGGCCACAGGAACATGGGATGACACAACCAAGTCCGTGCCCAAGCATTTCAGCAAGCCCATGAGGTCACCTCAAGCATGACAAAATCTATAAATTAGAGGGACATCATAATTCTGTAGAAAAGATGACAAAGTCCATACCTACACCTTGGGTCATTATTATTTTTCCATCACTAAACTAAGTTGTCCTGAAATAAGAAATTCTATAATCCACTATACTAACAATACATGAATAGAGTTGAAAAGAGCACAATTCATTTCATAAGCATAAGCAGTGAGAGAGAGTTTTGTTAATATTGGTAGTTACTCCTTCTGAAGGTTATTGCATGTTGTAGATTCAAAGATGAATAAGGCTGGAGCTCAAAGTCCAGTGGGTGTTTCAGACATTGTAATGCCACAGAGGAGGAACTAAAAAGAAAAGCAATACAACATTATCTGCCATAGTAATTAGTTCAACATTACATGGAAAATGTGAAGAAAGAGCTTTGGTAGTGTGATGAAAATAACTAGATTAGTTTGAATACAAGGACTGGTATTTACTTCTGTATATTAGTTGAAATGAAAAATACACTCTAGTCTTCGGTCAAATATATGTAACAGAGGGAACTAAAAATTTAGATTCTTATTGAAATGATATCCTATTTTAAAAGAAACAAATATGAACTTAGAATATAAGAGTCCTCTTGTATTTTAGAGCTGAATTAGCAAAACTAGTGTCCAAGTACTTCTTTATTGTTAGCCTGCTTTCCTGATGTGATTCCAAAATTGGGAAGATGATCTATGAAAAGATCGAAGGTCCATGGTTTTCTCTCATACTCTGAACATTTTTGAATTGCTGTCTCTGTGGTTGGCATTGTGGATAATGAAACAACCTTACCTTGACTGCTCTCTGTTAATCCAGAGAAAGGACTGTCTTGCATTGTCAACAGCTGGCTGAGCAGCCTGCCACTCTCACCTATTTTGCAAGGAGGCCTCCTATCGGTTCATCTGAGTCTGGGGAAAGCTCATCCTTCAACCTCCAGCTCTAACTTGCAAGGAATCTTATGTTTATTCATTGAATTTCCCTTAACAACACTTTTGCAAGAAGGCCCTTTTAAAAGCTGTACTCCCCTTTGTGAGAATGTAAAAGAACTCATTTAAACAGAACCTGGCAGGCAGGAAGAACTCAAACGCTGGATAATTATCTACTTGCTCGTTGTTGGTTAATACCTTTATAAAACTCTCTTTGCTGTCAATGTTATACAAATTTGTTTCTTTGTTAAAATGATATTTTCTTAAAAGTAAATTGAGTAGGAGTCTTGTCTCTTTTTGAGAATTAAATGCGTAGTGTTATTCTGAAAAGGAGCCACAACTTTATGTGGCAGATAGTGCCATGTGGTTCATGTTCTAGGGGAAGAAATCAGGAGGTTCAGTGAGCTTGCCCCAGGTCTCAGAGGTAGCACATAGTGGAGCAGGGCTTCCAACCCCCGTCTGGCTTCAAGCCTGCCCTGGTAACCACTCTGCACTGCCTAAGGAGGCAGTGTGATGGAATGGACTTGTGATTACCAGCCTGAGAAAGTGGCCACTGGACTTATCTCTGCCTCTAGATCTCTTTCTGGCCTTGGGCAGGTCACAACTTCTCCAGACCTTGATTTCTTACCGAAAAAAGAAAAAAGAAAAAAAAAAAGGAAATATTGAATCAATCATTTCCTTACTGTTCCTTGTAACTCAAATTCTGAACTTTTTTGTGAATCAGCGGGGAAGGGGGAGGACTACACTGTTAGTACCCTTCATTATTAAGGAAAACGGATACCTGCTTTTGAGAATGAGTTCTTGATGTTCCTGAAGGAAGCTTGAAGGGCAAACTGTAAAAGATCCAGAGTGGTTGGGGATAACCCAAGAAAGAAAGAGAAATGTGAGAAAATGGTTACATTGCTCATCTAGAAAATTAAAAACCAAAGCAAAACTAAACGAAGACAATTAGGAATAGAAAAATATCGGTAAGAGTCCTCCTCTCCCAAATAGATGATCTTACCAAAATTTCTTTCACTTCAGAATGAAGAAATACTTGAAAGCAGTCATGATGGGGAGAACCCTGAGCCAGAGCAGATTGACAGCTCTAAAAACCTTTCCCCGAGCAGGTAAGATTGCACATACCTTTGCAAAAGTCACTTTAACCATTTAGAGGGGAGGGGGTGTTGGTGGAGGAGGGTAGGTTTCCTCTGTTTAAATCTCATCACTTATTTTCCCCAGATAAAATCACGTATTTATTCTATATACTAACCTTCATTATGTACCTGAGAACAAAATTCGTAAATCTCATAAAAGCAACAAGCAAGAGCTGAAAATGGCATCTTATAAGCCAGGCTTCCAAAGATACTCCGTGTTTTAAGAAATGGATTATCAAGAAAATAGTAAATGAAAAACTATTATTAATATTGATTAAATTATTGTATTTAAAGGCTATAGGTCCCCAAAGACACAATTTATGCAAATGTAATGCTATGTTTGGCCTACAGAAAGGTATTTGCATGCATGTTAACGAATACTCTGCAGATCAGAAAGCCTTAAATTATAGTGGTTAAGACCAAAAGCATGAGAAGAAATGCATTAAAAAAATCTTTATATTCAGAACCCCCATCATTACCTCTATTCTAGCATTTGTCACATTGCTTATATGCACATCATTTGACTTATTGACTGCTTTTATGCCCAGGGTCTATCATGTTTAGCTCTTAACAGGACTCAAAAAAAAAAAAAAAAAGCCTGTAGAATGAATGAACAAACATCTTTAGGAAAGTGCGCCTTGATTAAAGCCAATATTAGTTTAACTAGACTACTTTCTATTCTTTTACTTTAAGGTGTACTCAAGCAAACATGTGGGCTCTTACTGGTTAAAATGTATCTTTGAGTTCTAGTAAACGGCCCAATTCAGCATATATGAAAGTGTTTAGTTGGGTTTGTCTGAAAAACACTAATTGGCCATGTATTCTGTTGTTTTCATTAAGTGACAGTGTATCTTTGGGGACTTTTCTATTACTACAACCATGCCTACTTTTATTATTGTAATTTTGTAAGTCTTATAATGAGTCCTTTAAATTGATGAATTATTGCATTAATTTACAGTAAATGATTAAATCATGCTTCTAATGAAAAATACAATGGGAAAAAGTTACAGCATGTAATGAAATGAAGATACCTATGAATCTTGCAAAAGAGCTTTGAGAAAAGGCAAAATTAACTAGTGAATTAAGAAGACAGGAGAATCTATAAGAGTACTGTTTCTGTTCTACCACCAGCTTTGAGTAAATACTGTAAGGTCACCCATCTTTGCTGCAAAAGTTTAATCTGTATTTCCTTATTCATTTTCGATTTTATAGATTTGAGTTTTTATGTATAACTAATACAAATTTGTTGGGCTAGAGTTGATAGGTACAATATGCTTGGCATATAGTCAGCATTCAGATTTTGTTGAATAAATTATAAACTTTTAAGTAGTACAGGTAAAATGTTATGCCAGATGGTGTCCATTAAGGGTCCTGCATAATTACTCTCTTTTCCTATTTGGATGGCTTGCCAGAGCAGGACTTTATTGTATTTGAAAACAAAAGTTTTTCAGCACTATGTGATAGCATTGTGCATAGTCCCTACCTTCAGAACTTATATATCAGCTAAGGAAAAACACATGAAATAATTACTAGCTAGCACAATAATATACAGGGAGGGGAGGAGATTCTTAATGGAGGAGCAGAGTTAGAGTTGGATGTCCGAGATCAAAAGGTACAGAAGAAACAGTGTTCCTGGCAAGAGGAACCAGTTTGTGCCAGGTATGGTCATGAATGACATTTGTGATGGATAATAGCAGCCATGGGGAAAATCAACCTACAAGAAATGAAAGAGGGAAACAAGATTACTTAAGGCCTCGAAAACCAGATAGAAGAGATTAGATTTGTTGTTTGGAGGCAGTGAAGAGTCTTTGAGATCTGGAGCAAAGCAATATCATAATGAAAGCTGCAATCGAGGCTTGTCTGCCTGCAGAATGCAGTGATTACAGGGAACACAGAGTCAAGGAGACACCTAACATTTCTCTCATTACTACCGCAGAATGAATAACCCTGTGTAGCAAGAATTCTCTGCTCTGATTCTCCCTGCAGCCTTGGTATTCAATTAAAGCCCAAATATAGGTCAACTTAATTCTTCTGAGTAATCATCTCAATCTCAACTACAAACACCCCAGCTATGCCTCACAAGTAAAAAGTTCTGCTAATTCAGATGCTTCCAAGTTTAAAAAAAAAATACATAGATTGAATCACACAACCTACTATGCTAAAAATTGAGCAGGAATCAGGTGAAAAGCAGATGAGCACATACTAGGCACAGATATACTGAAACCCAGCACAAGCTGCAAAGCAGGCCTAAGAACATTCCAACATTAAGAGACTAGGCTAAATTTGAATCAACTTTTGGACAGCGAGTGATATCAAATAAAAGGAAAATATGGCATTTCAAATGGTGTGTTAAGGCACTTTGGCTATAGGTTCTTATTTCATCTTTTCCTGGACAATCTATTGGGAAGGAAGAATTCCCCCACGTAGACATTCTGGCATAAATCATACAACAAACCAAGGAGGCATTTTAGGTGGCTCCTAAATGCAGAGGATACACTAATTCTCTATCCTGAGCACCATGGCAAATCTGAACAGGAAATAGGATTAAGAGTGTATATTACAGGCCTCTTTGACATTAAACAGAGCAAGTTGATTGTATAAAAAATGATGTTCACACAGGAGTTTAAAAACCTTCGTGAAAATACACAGCTGTTGACAATTTTCAAGTTGTTTATTGGAAATCATAAATTTATTTTTTAAAAACCCACTAATTATTTTGCTATACAACAGCAAAACTGAAATAATATAAATATTTAACATTTTGGTATAAAATTAATAATATGGAATAAAGATGCAAACCAATCAAGAGGTAAAAAGTTTTTAGCAATAACACTGTGTACAACCATCAAGTGACCATACAGGCTGATAGTGTATTTTCCCTTTGTTGATGATATTTAAAAGACAGCCTTGCATTGGAGCACCAAAAAGTTTTTCCTTCCTTTTTAAAAGGTTGGAATCCTTTATTTACAATTATTCTTCTCAGTACTTTAAGTCTGATGAAGGAAGCATCTAGCAATTTCCTTCTTATTAAAAAAGGAAGTGCCTTCATATTTCCTTTAAATGTAAATGTTTCATTCTGTTTTAAGCAAAATGAACACAACTGAGGCGAGCACTTTCACAAATAAATAATTGTTTCGCAAAAGTATTGCTGTAAACAAGATCGTTTTGATAGCCGGAAAGAGACACTGGTGTTTTCAACCAATGGAAAATTTAAACAGTTACAAGTATAGATACACAGGGCATATATACGGCCAAAAGGCAAATGATTATTAAAGGACCAATGAATAAAAATTAATTACAAACCTACTTTGTCAAAATATGCTTTTTGTTCTCTACAGTTTTTAAAATTGGTCAGAAAATTTGAACTGTAATGATCTAAAAACCCTGAACCTACTCTGAAAGTAACTACAAACTAGAATGTTTGACACCATAGTTTTGACATTAGTTAAAAATTCTAAATTATCTGAGCAATCAATGTAAACAAGCTTCAGTTTTCAAAATAGAAAAAAATTAACAAAAAACTCCTGTAAACATTAAAAAGCTACCTGCAAAAAAGTATATATATCATCATCCAGTTGTGTATACTGAGAATTCCTTTTTATTCATTTAGTGTGTTTCAGACATCATCTTACCAAGTGAGACATCTTAGTTTTCCCTAACAGGCGCCTCTGCATACAAAGGTTTTATAATCCATTCAACTGCTGTTGCTGAAGTCGTAATTTTGACCTTCATATAACCCCTCTAACAATACACTTCACCTAGTTCTTTCTGTAGTGAGGGGAGGTTGTTTGCATCATGGTCACATTTTTATTCTGCTTTGTAAAATAAATATAACTTGCTCTATTGGATCTTAGTCACATCTCTTTGATTACAAGGAACGTGCAGCTTTACAAATATTTTTAAGCCTCTTTCTGGTAACTTTTCTATCACTTTCATTCTGCTTCAAGTTTGAAATATTTATAAATTGAGGATCACCTCTGATAGTCATTTTTATGAAAGAATAGATTTTTTTTTAGACACTAGTTTTGATTTGATGTTTAATACTCTCAATTTTAAAGTCTCAACTTAGAACAAAGTACTGTAGTTTATGAGACTTTATTGCAGAGGGGTGTGCTAATTTTAGTAATCAATACAATAATTTAGACATTAAAAATTTTATTTTATAAATAATGAAGAAAAGAGGCTTTTAATCTTCTATCTTTCCTTTTGAATTCTTCATTATTTTATTCCTCTATGCAAACTACATTTAAATAGCTGCCTTAAAAACAGACTGATATTGATTATTTAAAAACCAGTTGAAAAATTCATGAAATTAAAATTAGCTTATTTGAATTAACAGGGATTTCTCCCTAGAGAAGGACCCTTTGGATAATAAACTGCCCATGTTTTGTGTCATTTTCTAATAATTAAAAGCCCATAATAAAGTACCAGTTAGGGTAGAATTAATGACTTTTCAAATTTCACATTAAACTTTGGAAAAAATAAATAAATATATTTTAAATGACTCCAACACTGTCTAGGTAAAATAGCTACATGGCTGGACAACGGGTGATATGGTGGTTTATCAAGAAATTGAGTACATTTTCCTAAATCTCCTTTGAAGGGGAGACTTTCTTTTATCAGATTCATGTACTGTCTTCTATGCCAATCTTCCCCTGCCCCCATCAACTCCATCAAGTGCTCTTTACTGAAAATAAACTTGTATACCTGGTCAAATAATATATTCATTTCTTTGAGATGTTATACTATCCATTTACTTGGCATTTTTCCAAAAGCAGTTTTTCTAACACGAAGGCACCTAAATAATTTCTCTACACCTCACATATACTTATGGGTCAGAGAACTTGAAATTCCCTTTAGTTTTGTTTTCATAAACCTTGTCTAAATGTAAGTTCCTTGAAATGAATTTAGGCAATGAAGTAGATAAGTTATGTTGAAGGGCATCTAGAAGAACCAAAGAAACATTCTGATAGACTGGGCTTTCAAAATATTTCTTTGTTTTTTGTATTCATTTCACTTATTGTACAGACAAACATTTAAAGGTTTTTCATCCAGGACTGGCTCAGTGACAGTGAAAACATACAACATTCAAGTACTATTAGGCAAAGGCAGCCCTACAAGGATACGTATCCATATAGGACAATTTGCAAAGGAGAACTATCTTAATTATTCTGCAGTATATTTGCCCCCAGAAACCTTTTGAAACTGTTTTTACTTTCGGGTCTGTGGCATCCTTCCAAAGGTCCTGAAGATCTTCTACATGCCCGTGAGAGGTCATCATTTTATCGTAAATGCAGGGATGATAAGGAGTTTTACCTTCCCCAGAGAAAAACACATGGTGTTGTGGTACTAGCCCTATTTTATTGGCACAGAGGCCCATGAACACATCGTCTATGTAAAGACTGGAGTTAAGTGTCTGTGATGCTTCATAGACCTTGGCGGCTACATCACCAGAGATCACATAGGCAGCTCCAGCGGTATAGTCAGGGTAAGCTGGCCACTGGTACATTTCATAGGAGACATAGTACTTGCTGCTTTTGTCTCTAACAGGAGGGGCGCCACGATGAACACGACCAATCCAGAGGTCTTGAACACCAATTTGTTCTAAACTTTGAAGGTATTCAATAAGATTTGGCATGTGAATAAATATGTCATCATCAGCAGTCATAAGGAATTTGGCATGTGGACAAAAGCTATTTGCCCAACTGAACTGCAGAAGGAATTTAAGAGTAAGATTATAGAATGAATCAGCAAAGTCTTGCTGAATTATATCACTGTACATCTGGTCTTCCCAAACCAGTCTTCTCTGCAGTCTTTCTCTTATCTGTGGGTTAGAAGGTGTTCCTAAGGCAAACAGAGTTTTGATGTTGGCGTTCAGTTGAGACCGAACGTACTTCTCGTTTCCCCACGTTTCCCTAATGGCAGAACGTCGATGGTAGTTTTCAGGAGCAGTCTTTATTAACAGTAAGAGCAGGACATCTTGTGCTTGACACTTTTCCTCGTGGTTAATCAAGTATTGGTAGCGAGGAACCCCTTCCCCACTGCGCTTAAGAGACAGGGTATCATTCACAAATTCATAGCTATTTTTGAGGTATCTGTAAGAGTAGGACTTCATATGGCTCACAATGTTATTATTGATGGGTCCCCAAAAGAACATGAGGCTTAGTACAAAACAAGTGGCAAATAACTGAATAAACTGCCATTTTTTTACTCTCCTGCCACTAACAAACATTCTGATGTCCATTCAGGTCTGTTTTTATTTAGCGACAGTTTTAAATAGCCACCTGCTTCTTCAAGACCATAGAACTTTGTCTTCTATAGAACAGATGTCCATGTTGGTCATTACTAATGTAAAAGGAGCTTCTTATTTTAAAGAATATTTCCTTCTAATACCATTTTTTCAGAGATGGCGAAAGGCTGGAACACACGGGAGCGTGAGGACGCTAGCACATCAGAACGCTCCTACTCTGACATCTTTCATTAAGTTCGGGGATTGGCCTCCTGCCGCTGTTCCGTGTGCTCCTTTTTGTGAAAGTTAAGTGCAACCTAGTAGACCCTGGAAGAGAAAAGATGACAAGTGAACAGGTTATTGAGTTATCAGAAAGACACAAACTATGCTTAATTCCTTCTGAACTAAATGTAACCTGACTGATCTGGACAAAAGGTGACAAGGTAGCTAGTATTTAGTAGAGGTATACAACTGTTTAATTTTTCAGGGAAGTCCAGGGGAAGGGGGAGAACTATCCTCTACCATCTTGCCATTCAGAATACAAAGACCTTTTTCTCTTCTCAACCTTTAAAAAAAAAAAGGCTTCAAAATGGCTATCATCTTATATACTTAACGTTCAAATATCTCAGATAAATATATCCATTAATATATTAACTTGGAATATGGTCAGGATGAAAGCAGCTATATAGTTCAAGGCAAAGTACTGACTGAAAAGAAAGTTCATAACAGTAAAAATCCATTAAATTTTGCTACAGACAAGGCAGAAATAGGAGTAAGATTCCCACCCCCCCAAATCAAGGTTCATGTCAAGGAGTTGATGTATGCTTCTCAAAAGCATAGTCCAAACTTTCTCTAACCAAAGTGACTTTTGCGAGCCCCCAATCTGTACAGTCATCTTCTTTCTGTACTTTTCTATTCGGAATCTCAAAAAGCACCCCAAATGTTCTTCAAAACTGGGAAGCCACAGGATTGTAGCCACAGGCACTGTCTTTGTAGTCAGGCAATTTGAACACCAGAGTTGGCTCAGCCACTTACTATGTGCTGCACTGTATCCTGCATCAAACCAAGAAATCTAAAAAATTCTAATAATACTGCTTAACTAGTAGTTTTCATGCAGGTAAAATGGGAACATACACAGATACACAGAGAGAGGAAGGTAGATGAGTAATAATTTCCTGGCATACAAGGGAAATCAAATATCCATTTCCAACCCATTCTACTGTCTTCTCCCCTAAAACCAGCTGTTTTTATTTTCTCTTTGTGTCTGACTGTACTTCATGTGTCTATGCCGGAGATCTGAAAGTCCTCTTTTCCCTCCACATCCATATCTAGTTATTTAATCCTGTGAATTGCTTCTTCTAAACCTCTCTTCACCCTTTCATGTCATCATGACTTCTCACCCAGACCAGTGCAGCAGAGCAAATGATCCCTGGCCAACCCATCCTCTACTTCATGGTCAGAGTGACCTTTCTAAAACTCACATGTAAACATGAGACTAACTGAACTCTTTAAACCCCTCAGATGCTCTCCACCCATTGACAAAACCAAAGTGTTGGCTGAAAGCTCAGATGCACTTGCTACTTCATACACGCCAGCCTTTGCACCAGCACTCCCAGGGCCTGGCACTCCCCTTGCTGATGTGAAGTCTACTAATGCTGACTAAATTCTATAGGCATCCTCCTCTGGGAAGTCTGAACTGGGCTCCCCCACCCCCTGCTCTTATCTGTATTGCCACAGCACCTTCTTACATCCATCTTCTTGTACTGAGACTTTTTAACTGCCTCCCTGATAACATTGTGAACTCTGACCCGAGGCACAAGGTAGATGCCTTGTCGTAGATCCCCTACCTCCTCAGCATCCATGCCAGCACCTGACACCTAGTAGGGGTTCTCTGAATATCGGTGCAAAGAACCATGCTGGTGGTGGAGCCACCTTTCACTCAAACAGCTGGTCACTTGGGAAGAACTGGGGGTCAGGAAGCCCAGCCAGGTACCACCACCTCAGATGAGGACCCTGCCACCACTGCTTGCCCCCATGTCCTCCCTTTCCTGCCACCACTAGGAGACAGCACCTCCCTTCCTCAAAGACTCTGTCCCCATCTCTTACCACAAGTAAGACACATCCTTTTGCCTGGAGAAGCAGGCTCTCCTCTCAGGGTTGACAGATCAGTCTCCTGGGCTTTCAGCACACCGACAGGCTCTAGGCTGTCCAGGCTGGCTAAGTAGCCAAATCCACATCACAAGCCCCAGGGCAAGGGCTCTACTTTTGTGCCCAAAGGTCTCATCCTCAAATTCCCCACTCTTTGCCCCAATATAAAGCCAACTGTACCAGCCTAACCTTGGCTGTGGGACTTCCTTCCTGACTTCAGGCCTTTTACACCCAGCTGTACTTCCCATCCCCCACGATTACTCCACATTAGGGTGATAACTGCCAAAGCTAAGCATGTGAAAAGTCCAGTGAAAGCAGATTAGAGCCAGGCGCCACAAGACTTTGCCTAGAGATAATCAGCACAGGTAACATCTTATCCCCAAGATTATAGATTTTAAAATGGCTAGCACCACTTAGAAAGCCACAAACAGCATTTTAAAAACAGAAAAGAAAAAGAAAGAGAAGAATAGAGGATGGTACAGTGCACTGAAAACAGTAAATATAACTACTATTTTGTGAAACTTTAAGCTTTTACCTTTTGAGTTGTAAAATGCATTTCTATAGTGCTTTATAATCAAGAAAGTAAAGAATACTATTCTAAGGGCTTGATCAATATCAGTAATTTCCCCTGTGGTTTGGCTGGTCATGGTGGACCAAATGCTCCAGAGCAGGGTAAGAGACAGCAGGACACATCCATTTCTGATGGTGGCATCTGCCTAAACTTTGAAAGTCACTATCACTGGTGGGGGAGGGCACTTCCTCTCAGTCTTAACAGTGCCCAGTTACATAAGGCCTACCTATGAAGGCCAATAGCCTCTTCTGCTCCTCCATAATACGCAGTGAAGGAACCGGAGACTTCATGCAAAATAACAGAATTCTTAATGGCAGATTTTACAACAGCATAGGTATTTAAGAATTCTGGTTCTTACAAAAGTGAGGGTATAATATACTAACTTTTTATGGAAAAACAAAGAAAGAAAATTCTCAACTGAAATTGGTCTGCAGTTTCTATTCCAAGAGACTCTGAGAAGGCAACAAAAAAGAAAGTAACCTTTGGAACCACAGGCAAAACTAGCTTCTCGTTTCTGAGCAGCGGCACTCAGTGTGCTCCCACGGCAGCTTGCTTTGCACCTATTCACAGTTGTTTACAAGCGTGAGCTTCTTGCTAGACAATCAGCCCACCAGCCCAACTCCGCTGGCACCCACGTGTACGCTGGACTCACAGAGGCCCTAGTCTCTCTCCAATGAATGGGGTCTATTACTCATCCGCGTGGAGCGTTGCTGCTGCTAACAGTGCTGCTACAACCTAGCAGCCAGCCCATGACATTCATTTTATCCCCTCCCCACCCCACTACCTATGTATTTACCCCATTCTCCTATATTTATTCAGTCGTTCCCAAATGACCTCTAAGAGTCACAGCAGTTTTCTGAAAAATGACAAAGAACCTGTCACAAAGCCAACAACCCACGCGCTCATTTAGGTTCAGCACAGTGTGTGAAGTTCTATGGTTTCTCCACCTTCAGCAGAGCTTGAATTGTTGAGCCCCCGTTTGTCAGTCGTCACCAGATCTGCCTGTTAGTGTTGATGTGATGAGGGGCAGATCTAGGAAAGGTAAACTGCTCGTTTATAGTACCTCACTTCTAACAAAAGAACACTCCAACTCCTCCAAAGTGAACTTAGTCACTAGGTGGCCTTTTTCAACCAAAAGCAAAAGCACCTCCACGATCTAAATTCATTCGCTAAAACTAAACAACATTGCCCCAGCCGTGGCCTTGCTGAGACCAAGCACAGGAAATTGAGGCTCTCCCTTCTGGTTAATGCAGAGTCATAACGCCTCTCTAAGGCACATCCTCTAGCTTCTGTAGTCAAAGTGCAGTGGTGAGGGCTACAGAGAAGCCCGCAGACCTGCCTGACCTGGAGAGAGAAAATGCTGGGCTTACAGGAAACAAAGCGATTCCAATAATGAATGTGGGCTCAGCAACCACCCAGGACAGAATGCTGTGGGTGCAGCTTCCTTTGTGCCCGCAGCGCGACTGGGCAACCAATTAACAGGCTGGAACCAAGGCTGCTCGGTTTGGGGCCAGATTTATTGTACAAACTTGGGCACCCTTCCCTGCACTCTGCATTGGTGATTTAATCTGCAAATTGGGGGCAAAGATCAAAGTATTGTTACTGAGATGATATAAAAATTACAGATGACTTCAGAGCCTGCTGAAAATAGGAAACAGGAAAGACTACAGGAGAGAACAGGACAAAGAGCTGCTTAGAGGAAAATATGCAAATATTTGGAATAGTACTTGGGCTTGCTCCTATTTGGATTGAGAAGAAGGAACAGATACCCTAATTATTCTCTTTCCTAATAGAAATAGTCAGAAGAATAAGAACAGAAGTCGAGTAGGAACATCAGAAAAGGTGGCAGACCCCCCCCCAAATGCTTTTCAGTCTGGGAGCTGTGCCCCTCAGCTACTCAAGAATATTTCTTCCCAAGAGAGCTCTTTAAACTTGTATGGAAAAAAAAAAAGTTAGTGCATCTAGAGACTACAAGTTTCCGTAAATGACCCCTGATTTTTTTCTACTTCACTTCTGCTGTCAACTTATTTCTTTGTTGAGTCTACTTTTGTGATCCTAAAATATTATGCAAAACCTGCTGTAAATGTTGAAGTTTTAATCAAGATGGTGACATCTCCATTTTAAGTTCAGATTAAATAACCTCAGTGTCCAATGTTTCAATTAATCCTACAAGTATGTGAGTATTTGCCTTGGAAATACTTAATGCCAGGCATGGTGGGACTCCTGAAGTTGTATCTTCTGGCCTCTAATCTGAAAGCAACTACAGTCTAGTTGAGACAAGACTCATGGTGCCCACATGAAAACAGTTCCTCTGGACAACCACGGGCATGTCACAGTAAGGTACAGACAGTGTGTCAGCACTAAAACCAACTCCAGGCACAACAGGAGTGTCCCCAGGAATAGAGATCAGTGACAGCTGGACCAGGAGGGCCTGAGGATGAACAGGATTTAGGTGGCTGCAGGAAGACAAGCAGTCTGTTCCAGGCAAGAAAGGAAAGTATCACAATACGGCAAATATTTGAGAAACAGGCAAGCTATTTGAAAGCAGGGAGTTTGGGGCCTACTTTATGGAGAACCTTGAAAATAAGGCAGAGAAGTCAGTGAGTGCCTAGGGCAGCAAGTCACAGAAGTTTCCATTTTTGTCTTTAGTGATAACTCCCCTGTCAATATTTATTAAGCTTTATGCAAAAATCTGGCAGTGGTACACAGGATGGATGCAGGATGTCTGGAGATCAGGACACCAGTTGTATCAGGGCCTTGTCCTGAAGCAGGATGAGAAACAGAGGGCCTAGTCTGCAGTGGCAGATGTGGTGAAGGCAGAAGGGGGAAAAGAAGACCCTTTCAAGAAAAACAAAACCCCAGCAGTTGGGACAGGGAGTAAAAGGTGTGAAATCTAGTTTCAAGCATTAGTGACACATGAGGGAAAACTGGTTTCCTGAGTTAGGAGCGAGGTGGGAAGATGTCTGGTTTTAGGCTTGTGTTGACTGCGGTGTTGGAGAGATGACAGGTGGGGAAGTGCAGTTGGTGAGCTGACACTGGAGGCAGATGGAACTGAAGGTCCGGTGGGCACCCTGAGCAGAGCAGCTGTGAACACTCTGGGTTGGGGGCGGTGGGGGAGGTGAACAGAGAGGCCTGGAGGAACAGTAAACTCAGGGGAAGGAGAAGAGGGAGGAGGCAAAGAAAAAAGGAATTATCTTAAAGGGATAGTTTATAAGAAAATTAAGATGGGGTAACAAAGGGAGAGGGAGACAGTTGGAAGGCGGGACGGACAAGGCCGTCGTGGAGCTGAAGCAGGAAGACAGATGTGGCGTAAAGAGTGAGGGCTGTGCTGGGAGCACGAGGGTCTCAAGGTGGGGGCCAGGTCGAGGGGAAAGGCATCTTCCAGGAGGAGAAGCAACACTGACCCTGGAGCTGAAGGCTGAGTTGTGCTGACTAGAGAAAGCCAGCAGGTTTGAATTCAAAATGCATATATTTTTGTGTCTATCCATATGTTTCTCGACCACTGTTTCTGGCCGTTGTTGTAATATATGAACAACATCTAACCTGGGGGAAACTATATTTCTACATCTTGCTTAGTAGACGTACAACACTCAGACGTCTCAGGAACCCTTGTTTTATGGTGTGTATGCCATTTTGTTCACTTTCCCTCCCACGCACT